GCTGGGCTCTCCGAACTTCGCGAGCCGAGGATACATTTTGCGCGACTATTGCTGATGTGGTTTTTCGCTGGCAATTTACAGTCTCAACAATTTAACGTTAACCAATTGTGCTCCAAATAATTGACCGATACTAGATATCCTCCAAATTTTTTCTATACCAACTTCTCTAGGTAGATACTTCCAAAAAAACTGTTTTTCTTCATCTCTCATTTTTTTCTTTCTTTGAGATGCTGGCTTATTTCAACTCAATGCCACCAACCTATCTCGTAGAGAACAAAATGCCCTCCAAGAAAGTCTCTTAACTTTTGGGCGACAAAGCAATTATTTCTTAGTTGACGGATTGAATGCATCTATTGAACAAATTAGAGTTCAACACGAAATTCTGATTCTCGACAAAAAAAAGGAAATAATAAAAAAAGCTGTCACTACTACTGTCAATAAATCTTAATTTAGTTTATTAAACATTAATTAAAACGCAACTTTCTGCTTATTACTGCATTTAAATGTTTTATTAAGGCAATTTATATTTTTTTAAGTTGAGTTCACTGATTATTCGTTTTTTAAGATTATCAGAGTAAGAAACCATAGCTTATTTATTATATTATTAGAAATAAGAGGAAACAAGAAGTTTATTCTCAGCTTGTAATATCTGTGCAAACATACCTCCTAAATATTTTTTCTATAAATAGATTGGGGATATTGCAAAAAACCTTTCTACTAATATTTTTTCAACAAACAATAAAAGTGAGGATTACTTCATCTCTTACTGTCGATAAACTTATTTGCAGAATGTGCGGGTGTTATTGCTTCCATATTTTCTAATCGTCATTTGTTTTGGCAGTTATATGTTATTTGCTCTCTATAACAGGGAAATGTCAACAAATGTTTTTAATAAAACGTTACTTTGAGTTAGACGACTACATCTTGAAAAATTTGAGTTAATATTTTCTTTTGATTTAAATTTTAATTTATCATCAATTTGATAAATAGATATATTATTTTCTTTTACCCTATTAATATAATTCGAAACGACAAAAACTCATATTTTTTTCGTTCTATTAAGGACCAGCGTCAAAATAAAACGCAAGGAATCTGGATCGAAACTTAAGGTACACCACTACGTATATTCTCTCTTTGATCATCTAAGTTAAATTTTGTTATCTGGTTCTGATTATTAATTTTTTGGAGCCATATTTGTAACGAACAGGTCTACTCTTATGCAGAAGTATTGTTACTGCGGGAAGATTGATGTAAGTACTTAAGCTTGACTTTAACAGCCTGAGGAGCGAGCACATGTCATAAAGAAACATAATTCACCAATGAATTCCATAACTTTGATCAATCTCATTGAATAAAACATTAAAATAGATCGAGATTATCAAGCGATACAATGATGTTTCAAATGAACAACTAAGATTTCATATTTTTATAGCAATAATAGTTCCGTGAGGAAACTCCTTAGTAATGTTTAAGAGATTTGGCTGACGCATTTCAGTGCATGAGTGCCCCGCTTTAATTTTTATTTTTAGTCGCTCAAACCTGAAAAATCATTTTGTCCCTTTTAGTACATTTTTAGAAAAATGTAATTAATTTTCATTTTATACTTTTTAGTCTTTCAGAGTTTTGCAATCAAATAAATTTAAACTGATTCCATATTCATAGTTAGCGACCATAAATACCGAATTTGATGAAATGGGAGCATATAGTAAAAAGTCCGCCATCTTGAATCTTTAAAAACTAATTATAGAATTTTAGTCGGTGGACAAACCCCAGGTATTAATTTTGAACCAAATTGGTTCACATTTGGAGATCGCTCTAGACTGTGTGTCCAGGGTGATCAAAATGTTGTAACTATGAAAATGTCAAATAAATTGTTTTTTGTACGAACGGAAATAAAACAGTATTTTACTGCCCCAAAATAAGGGATAAAACTAGCGTTTATTCCCTAAGGGATTTTAAGTCGCCATGGAAACCAATGAAAAATTAAAATATAATGTAACATGTCAACATTTTTATTATGTCAAGCTTTTAATGGTAGAAAGAACACAAAATTACGAATCAAACATATAAACCATAACATGTAACTTATTTCTAATTAAAATTAATATTAATAAGGATTTTTTCATAGTTCATAATATTTGGTAATTAATAATATTTAGTAATACGTAATATATGTTGTTGGTGTGATGTTTTTATGGCCATCATGTAACATGCTTATTATAATATCTTCTCTTGAATTATTTGAAAGAAACCCTCATTTTTAATTTTTATTGCTGAATTTTGCAGTTATTGTTCAATAAGTCGAAAATGGTTACAAATAGCCATAGGAATGTACGTACAAAAAAGGTTCGTTTTTCAATTCTAGATCACATCGGTCAAAAATACATTCCATTTAAAAAAATTGAGAATATTCACTTCAAATAGTTGTAAATTTAAAAATCCTTTTTGGTCACCCTGTATACTTTTAGGAAGTGAAAATGGCTGAGTGTGATCACACAGATATCTCATAACTGGTACTAACATATATTTTTTTATAAATCGATAATTGTGACTGTAGTGATTTTTTTAATATACACGTGTAAATGGCACAATTTCAACAAAAAAAAAATCATTACATCCAATAATAATACAGGAGTGGAAGGAGGCCACAAATAGGTTTCAAAAATGTTCTGATATACATGGCATTCTATTTTAAAAAATGTTAGTTGACCCTGTAGAATCGTCTTGGCTCACTCACCCTGTATATTCGTAAATAATTTCCGGTTATATGCTTTTTTGTCTAGTTTATTTATGTTTTTAAATCAAGTTTCTAGCTATTATAGAACTCGATATATCGAAGTCGGACGCACTATTGCCCCACCCTGTATAGAAAAAAAAACTTCCTCAAAAATCTCTTCTGCGATTTATCTACTGAAAGATATTTCTTACTGCTCGAAATTTGAAGAAAATCGATCGAGACCTATTTTACATAGAGTGCGGGATCCGGTTAATCTCTATTTTCATATCATTACTCCTTTAAAAGGACTAGATTTTTTGCCCTAAGTATACATATAATCAAAAACTAATCTGAATTATTTTACATACTTACATTATATTCCAGTTAACAGTAATAAAATAAAGTCAATCAATTCGGTGTTATAAATATACAGATATTTAAACATATGTATTTGCACCAAATACAAACAAATATATGTAATTCTTCGAAAAGTATGATTCCACGCTTGATCAGAAATAAGTTTCAAATTTCAAAACATTAAAAATTTAAAGATGAATGTTTACTACATCAAGAACGAATCAATTTCTGTCCTCCCTTCTCAAGGGTTCATATATATTTATTCGTATCCAAAAATAAATAAATCTTTTTTATCTAATTCAATTCAATAACCCTTTTACATCGCACGTCTTACTATAAAGAATAAAACCAGAGACACGAAGATGAAACTTATCCGGAACGAATATCTATATTTTCTCATCACAGAAACTTCGAAAAAGAATATATAAACTGTTTCGAGTGTCTCCTAATAGATATAAAAAAATATTCCGGGACCTGAGAACTAATACGTGAGCCTATAAATGAACCCCGTCTTAGGGCTAATCCTCCCAATGACCGGGCGAGTGCCAAAAAATCAGCGTAAAGAAGTTAATAACTGAAACGGCTCCCAGAAGAACCTCGCCGTGTGCGGTTCCCGATCCAACAGTATACCGCCGCGACGTCGTCCCTTTTAGCACAGCCCCCTAGTGACCGGCGCGCCTCAGCGTTCCAACGTCGACGTCTAATCGATATTATAGTCTGACACAAGTCTGTACTACATACATTACAACTTAACTATTTGTTTTATATTACGAGAACGAAAACTAGAACTGTGTTACTATGATTTGAGGAGATACCTCAGGAGTTTTGACGTGCTTTTCATTTGACTTTTTCTGAAGTTTCATACAGGATTTCAGAGTTTATCTCGGTGAAATTTGAACTAGAGTGTGGACCATTTATGTCACGACTATGGTTTACGATGTTGGAGTGGGGATTGAACCCTAAATTAGCCCTTTGGCATTTGACAGTTCAACGTACGTGTAATAACTAATAATAACCAGCAAATATAATAACTGATTGTGTTTAAATATTGACTTTGTGAGTTTGTCGGGTGTAAACAACGCATTTATTTAACCTAAAAACTGAGTTTTATGGAGGGATTTTACGATTGTGATTTTTAGGTTATAGTGGTTATTTTTAGAGCTATTGTACGAGATTTTAGTATTATTTGAGCGCTATGAGAATGAAACATCGCTGATCGATCTGAGGGTGCCGTTTGTTATTTTAAACTGAAATCCCACAGGTGAGTCTTTATTATTAAAGTTCATATTTGTTTTTGTCAGCTTTATTTTCCTAACATATCACATAATTAATATACATACTAATGATCCGGTATGGGTAATACTGAAATACTGTACAAGCAATTACACTAAAAGTTAACATAGAATTAGGAAGTATATATTTTTTTGTTTCAAGGATGTTAATATCGTGTTTTAAAATTTGTTGTTGTGTTATTGTTAAATATTGATAAATTTAGTCTAGAGCAAACATTAATTTTATTTCAAATTAGAAATCCTATATGGTCTTAGTCAAGAGAAGTATGAAAACGAAAATTTTTTTGACTTATTTTGGTTTTGAATACGATTTTAAGAATTTTGTACCATTTGATAGAGAAAGTGACAACATTTTTTATTTTAAATAAAACACCTTATGTATTTTCACGGATTTATATAGGGATCTTCAATACGAATTAAACAATATAGGATTTAGTGGAGCTGAAATTGCATGTTAGTACTCAATTAATATTTTAATGGTCACAGCAGATGTTCAAAATATCCTTCATTTACTTTTTGACAATAGCCAAGCCGACTACGAAAACTTTTGAGGCAATTCAACAAGACATTCCCATGTATCAGCTAAATTTTGTGTTTTTTTCATCATTAGGTCATCCAGATTATCGGGTGGTAGTGACTTCGTGGTCGAGTGGTAAGGACACTTGCTTCTTATCCTAGAGTGTGGGTTCGATTCCCGGTCGAGGAACAAGGATTTTTTCTAAACCAAAAATTAATTCTAGCATACTCGGATGTGTGTCCATTGTCTCTAAATGTGTAGATATTTTCCGCACAAGATACCCTCACAGATACAGGTAGTTGTATTACCTGTAGTTTTGTTTTTAATACCACACTCTATAAGGGACCACAAATAAAAATCCAGAGATAGAGGTGGTCATTCTTCCAAATCATATTTGTGAAAATCTTTAAATTAAGTATTCCCGAACACCATGTCTATAATGTGACGGTGCTCCGTCCTGTTGCAGTCAGGTCTTGTCATTGAGAAGTTGATTATTAACTGAATAAAAAAGACAATATGGCAAGTACAAATCCGTTCTAAAGGAGTAGTAAATCAGAGCAATCAAAGTTTCTTCAGAAAAGAAACACTGCCATCTCAGAATTTTATTGACTCGAATGTGTAATAGAGTTCTAATTAGAGTATTTTTCACATCTCTTTTTCGGGTTTCTTACCCCCATCATTAAGATTTCAATTCTTTACTTTTCGATTTAATGTTGAATTATATAACAGATCAGAATCGATTGATCGACATCAACTAATATTAAATTACTGTTTTATGGAAACGGTCTGATCAGTTCATTTTTGTATTTAAAAAGTCACAAGAAATACAATTTTTTTATGAACCAGTCTCAGTCTTTAAAAGATATATTCGTATTGTTTTAAATTTACACCACCATATCTTATTAAACTTAAAAGATAATGATAATGATGTATAGGGTGTCTCGCAATAAACGTCTCAAGTAATTATTCCGTTATTACTTGTCCGATTTTAAATAACAAAAAAAAATTAATGGTTTTACAAATACTACAAACTGGCACTAATTTTGTTTCTTTCAACTTCAACTGTAATGTCAGGCGATAGTAATCTCTTTTTTCAAATAGAAGACTATATATTTTTTTACTTAGTCTGGTAGAGAATTTTTCGGAAATCAATGCTGTATCACAACTTGATTTTCGTGCAATGTTAGTTGGAAAAAAGTAAGTAAAGGTTTATCAATATTAATTTGGGCTTCTAATAAAATTACCATGTGTGCCATGGAAAACAATGAAATCAACAAACCGATGCAAAGTGTCATTTGAGCTTCTACATTAATCTTGTATTACCAAATGTGCCATGGAAAACAATGAAATCAACAAAGCGACAAATGTCATTTAAGTCTTCAGTGTTAAAAATTATTGTTGCTTATAATTGTTGTTTTTCGTGAAATAACAAATAAAATAACCATGAATAACAGTGAACTTATCGACATGTTGCAAGTATATTGCGAATGCAATAAAAATAGGAAACAAGCAGTGAGCCTTTATATGATTCGCTTTCCGAATAGAAAAGTTCCAGAAAGCCAATTGGAAGACTAGAACAGAATTTGAGAAACTATGGTGCTTTTAAGGAACCCAAACGAGAGGAACATCAATTTAACAAAATGTAAAATTAAATGTTCTTCTTAGTGTGCAGGAAAATTCAACAACTTCTGCTCGTGAAATATCCAATAATATTAGTGCATCAAAAGCTACTATACATAAAATATTAAAAAGGCACAAATTTAAACCCTACATATCACAAAAAATGGAAGCATTGGAGGAAAATGGTCGTATTTTTTTATAGGAAAATAACTTGGTCTGATGAATGCACTTTTAGTAATAATGGCATTTTTAATAGAGACATCCACCGATATTGGAGTCAGGAAAATACCGGGATTATTGTAGCAAATGATTTCCAACGAAGAATTAGTGTTAATGCCTGGTGTGGTATTCTAGGCGATTGATTGTTAGGGACCATTTTTCATAGATGACACACTAACTCAAGAAAAATACCTTCAACTCTTGACTGAAGATCTTGAACATTTTTTAAATGACATGTCTCCAGCAGAATTTAATAGAATTTATTTTCAACAAGTTGGGGCAACCCCACATAACGCAAGAGTAAATGTTAATTGGATAAATACTACATTTGGTCCAAGGTGGATAGGCACGCATGGAGCAGTTCGCTGGCCTGCTCGTTCTCCTGATATCACACCACTCGTTTCTTGGTTTTGGGGCTATCTTAAAGATCAAGTGGTAACACATCCAGAAAACGAAGACATTTTAAGACAGAAAATAATCAACATTTGTCGCGAAATACCTCGCAATTTTGAACGCTAACCCACGGAGTAGTTCGAAGATGTATTCGTCAAGGTGGCGAACAATTTGAGCAATACTTATTTATATTTTTCATTGTTACAATAAAATTTTCCAACATTATCAAAATGTATTATTTCACGAAAGAACGATAATTTATTATAAAAGTAATAAAAATCTGAAAGCTTAAATGACATTTGTCGCTTTGCTGATTTCATTGTTTTCCATGACACACTTGGTAATACAAGATTAATGCAGGAGCTCAAATGACATTTTGCGTCAGTTTGTTGTTTTGATTGTTTTCCATGGCTCACTTGGTAATTATATTAGAAGCCCAAATTAATATTCATAAACATTTACTTACTATTTCTCCAACTAACATTGCACGAAAATGAAGTTGCCTGTCGCCTGACATTATGGTTGATGTTGAAAAAAACAAAATTAGTGCCAGTTTGTAGTATTTATAGAACCATTAATTTTGTTTTTCTGTTTTTTAAAATCGGAGTTATGAATTGCGGCGTTATTTGCGAGACACCCTGTATATTGCAGCATTCAGAAAGAAATTTAAATATACAGGGTGTATTACTTAAAATAAATAAGTTTTAGTTAAACCGGAAGTGAAAAATACGCATTTATAATCAGTGGAATATCACGGGTCTATTTCCACATTACTTTTATATTTTTTAATTTTTCGGTCAAGACTTTGTTATTTGGAGTTCAATTGTTTCGGGTTTCCCAGGAAAAATACATGTGTAGTTTTGGAATTTTTTCTAGGTGAAAAATCAACAATGAAATCACGTGAGGCACTTTTATTAGGTATGTTGTGGAATATAATGGAGTACTAATGAACAGTGCATGTTTTAAAGTATTTACATCATTTTCTAATCAATAATTAAATATTCATAGGTACACCTATTAAAATTAATGACATAAATATTTAGTAATATATACGATTTTTTAAAAAATATGTATTCAAAAATAGGAATATAATTCTCCATGTAAAGAATACAGAAGTGCAATGTTTTGATAATACAATGTTATTGCACAGTTTTGTCAAAAATTGTATTACCGTTTAAACCAATATAAAATTTAAAATAAAAGTTCTTTAGCAAATTTAAATCAGCTTCTAAGTATTAGGCGAAACAAATCTGTGTGCTACATATACATACTGGTCATGTAGTAAATGATATATTTATACAATTTTCGGCAATTGCATGTAGCGCACAGCGCCTCTCAATGCATTTGTTTCTGATTGTAAGGTTTTCTTTTGGAAAACAAAAAACATTAAAATTTTTACGTATCTATAACTTTTACAATCTATGTTGTTTTATGGCCTGAGCATATGCTCAATTGTGGCAAATACATATATTCTTAATACATACAATACTAAACAACACAGTTGATGAACTTTTAAAATTTTTTGTATGCCCAAGTATTCACCTACTCTACAGCTAATTTAAATTTTGTATACTCATGCCCCTAAGTAAAATGTCATGTCATCTAGTGTAACTAATATGACAGTTATGATTTTTGAAAAACACTACTCTTTTAAGTGCTGTGTAAATGGCCTTTAACCAATAGACAATAATACATAAAATTTGCTAAAACTTATCCCATTTAATAGACCTGGTAGCCCTTACCGTTTCCGAGTTCCCAATGATAAGCATCGAATTTGGGACACACAGTATATAAAAATATATTTCAAGTAGTAAGGTATATTTCCTATCTTACATTAATAGGTAGTTTGGTTTTATAAAACTAATTTTTCTACGATCATGCAAACTGTAGGCTATTATTTACTAATTTTCAGTACAAAAAGTGAAACTTTATTGCACTAATGTAATAAAAATGTTGTTACTCTACTGTCATCTTGACAGAATGTCACTGTTATTAATGTTTTATTTAACCGGTCATTATTTCACAACATAAATTTTTTAGAAAAAATATCGTTCGCAAACTCGTGCAAAAAAGTGCTGTTGCAGTATGATTGATGATCGAGAGGCAAGGACACTTGACTCTCACCCAAAAAGGCACGGGTTTGAATCCCGACCGTGGCACTGGGATTTTTCTGTGAGAGAGATTAATCGTAGTATACTCGGATATTGGATGTGTGTCTGTTGTCTAGCCGGTGTGTAGCCCCCCTCTCGCACAACGTCAATTTAGAGATACAGCTCCCTCTCGCACAACGTCAGATTAGAGGGGGTTGTATTATCTGTGGTGTTTATTTATTATTTAACGTGTTGTTTAGTGACCTTATTTATTTTTCATTGTTTTTAAAATAGGTTTGAGTAGAGAAACAAAAATGGCAGCTTGCAAAAGATCCCATCATTCATCATGTGAACTAGGGAGTATTGTCTGTGATTATGCCAAATCTTAAATGCCCCTCGTGTTAGTAGTGGATATTTTGATTTCTATTTCTCACCCCTAGCAAAATTTGATGAGTTTTGAATTACGTCCACTGCAGAGAGGTAATATCTACAAGCGAAATAAATCTCAGACTTTATTGGTAATGGCACAGAATCAGTATTTGTGGTAATGGATACAAGGTTTGTACTTCTGGAAAAAGAATTGTCGAATTTTGGTTTTTTCATTTGCTGTTAGGGAAACAGCTATGCGTATTCCAAGGTCAAATCACAAGTGTCTGAAACATTTTGTTCAGTACCGTCTCGCATTGTTTTCGATTTTCTTCAGCAAAGAAAAAATCGTACTTTATTCGTTACAATGTTTCACAGATGTTGTTTATAGTGTATTTTGTTACACCTATGCAATACTATACTAATATATGGCCTTATTCCAAGTGAATACTGGGAATTATAATTCTTTTAGAGAACTAGTCTACAGTTAAAATAATGGAACC